GCAAACCAGCAGACTTAAATTCATAAAAATGCAGTAATGTTAAATAAACGGCACTCTATTTAGCCATTTTCCGCACGATCATAAGCATTGGATTTGTGCTTTGGTGCAAATGTGAAACCATCTGGAACCTTGCCAAGCAGCATTTCAGATATTCGGATCTGCACAAGTGGAAAAGAAACTAATAAGAACACGATTATCACTATTACCGTGGGGTGCATAGTAAGAAGCAACTACGTACCCAGTCAGCTGCAGAATCAGACGCCATTAGGGTCTCTAGGTCATCACGCCCATAGTAGGAGGGAGGACGCCAATTCAGCCGTTGGGGAATGACATCTAAAAGACCAACAGGTATATACCTACATGTGTAGCTAAGCCATTCCAACAAGAAATGCCTAGTTGTTTCCACGCCTGCAAATTCAGTCAAATGCCAGAGGCTTCAGAACATGATAGTTGTTCAATACAAAGGTATATATGTTCACAGCAGCAGGATCAAATAAATTAATAAATAATAATTCTATGAAACTTCTTACAAGATATTTTGGAATCTTCAAGCTTAATACAAAGAAAATCGCATAATTATGCACCAGTTTCTTCTGAACGGTTCAATCTAATACAACAAAAGGTGCTAAAATTTTGGGTAACAAAACCAACGTTTACCCAAGAGCAAAAGATTAACATAAATTTTATCAGAAAGGTTACACAACTCAAATCAGGAAGCTAAAACCTGAATGGGGCAATTTGACACAAATTAGAAATATGGCTACAATCAACAGTTTAAGCTAGGGTAGAAAGAAAATGTTTCTGCTTTATATCAACTCAATCACGCCATATTTGTTTTTACAAAAATTGAAGGTCTCATTACAATCACACCATATTGATCGATGTTTCTCATATCATAATGCCAGCACAAAGTTATCATTAACTATTCACTAAGCTAACATATGAGAATTCAAACAAAATTATATGTATTTCACTATGAATATAGTATTACTGCATACCCTTTTTGTCAGACCCCCAATGCTCTAGGCCAAAACGCACATAGTCCTTCAAAATATTCAACCGCTCCTGTGAACTGATATCCCAATGCCTCTGTTCCTTGATTTCAGTAAATAACCAAGGCTGCAAAGCGCCTTAGATGTTATAATATGCTAAAATTTTATACAGCACAGCAGTCTGATAAATATGGAAAATTTTCAGATAAAATCTAAATACATACCTTAATCAATGCCCCTCGAGCAATCATACACGAAGAGAGCTCAGGGCAATCAGATATATGCTCGTTCCAATCTAAATATGAGAAAACATCCCCATTCCCCAAAACCTGCAGTGCACTAGGGGCCTTCCGACCACATTGGTATACATAATCCCAATCAGCAAGTTTACTGTAGCGTTGCTGACGTGATCGACCATGTATTGTCACTGCAGTTGCACCCCAACTGCCAATATCTGCAATCAACGAATCAATCCGGTTTTTACCTTCAAAGTAACCCGTTCTCACCTGCCATAACAAAAGGTACAACTATATATCTTAAAACTGCTTGGTGATTAGTGCATTTAAAGAAAAAGGGAAAAGGAGCAACATTGACCATATTTTTTTTTGGGGGGGGGGGGGGGGGTTGAAGATAAACAGAAAAACAAGAGCAACTGAGTAAGCATGTAAAACAACATAGGCACGCTTATAATTTAACTAATAACCTAAATGGCAAGCACCTTAATGGTTATAGGTCTATCAACAGTGCTGGAAGCTGCTTGAATTATTCCTTTCATACGTGCTGGTCTTGTGAGAAGAGAAGATCCAGCCCCCTTATCAACAACAATATCAATTGGGCACCCCATATTAATGTCAATGAAGTCCACTGTACACTCCTTTTCTATGAGTTCAACAGTACGTGCTACAGTGTCAGGATGTGCCCCACATATCTGAACTCCAAACAAATCCTCAGATGAATGTCGCCTAAGCAGAGCCCATTCTGAAGCTTGACCCTGTTCAACAGGATAAGCACCACAGAAAAACTCACATATAAGCATAGAATGCGTTTTACAACAAAAAGAAAAGAAAAGGCCAAGAACCACCCAAAAAGAAATTTAACTATGAAATGTCGAAAGCCAGTTAATGCAAAGACATCACACTACTTTCTTATTTGTGATGCCTTGCTGAGAAAGGAAATTATACCTATTTGTTCCATTGGGTGTAATTAACCTGCACAGCCTATTATTCTAATTTCCAACACTTATGGAATGATAAAACTAGCAGTTTGCCCCGATGCAACTAGGAATATGTGATACACATACCTGCAAAAGATTGGTGCACATTGCCATTTCACCGCATGTCACATCAGCTCCTAATGTTTTGCAAACCCTACGAAAAGGAAGATTCCCAACAGTTGTTAGAGGAGCAAGATACAGCTTTTCTCTAAAATCAATAAGCATCTTTTCACGAGGGTGTATCTTGAGGCTCCTATCAGGTTCTGCAACTACATCATCGGCCATTTCAGTTTCTGCAGAATCCTTTTCACAATCCTTCTCCAAAACAGTTGCATCTGTCAAATTACCACCCTCCACTTCATCAGAGCATTTTTCATCAACCACACATTTTGCCTTCTTTGAGGGTCTTAACTCATCAGTTGCACGTACATCCTCAGCATTAACTGCTGCTGACAATGTTGAAGGACACTCAGAACAGTCCATTGAATCATCGGCCACTTTTTTGCATTCAATTCCATCAGCAGCATTAGAACCGCTTAAACCAACTTTATCTTCCTCCTTATCTACTAGCTGCTTTTTTTTCCAGTTAGGCCCCTGAAATATTGTATTGATACTATGTTAACAACAATAAATCATAATTATGTTACTACACAATGGAATGAACAAAAACTGAAGAAATAAGAACTAATAAAAGAATTCAGTCAGTTCATCATACCGTTAGTCCAAGAGATTTGAGTACAGCGTCTGCTTTAGTAAACCGCATTTTGTTCTTCCACAAAAGCTTCTGAACATCTTTGGTTAGTCCATTGACTTCAGAGCTTTTCTTCAACAAATTAGAAGTTGCTGCAGAAGCACCATCCTTATGGGTGCCGACAAATCTACAGGCTAAACCATAAGGGCATGGTGCACCAGCTTTCATAAATGGGCAGTCACCCTCCAAATCAGCAGGTTTCTACATTCAACCAAAAACAAGATACTTATTAGAAGCCTAATTAGATAAATTTGATCAAATTGTAAATTGCATGAAATTGGGAGCAAAATACCTGAGCCAAAAATGCTTCTATGTCATGGCTGAAACGGCATTTGTCTTTATAAGAACAAGCATTAACATCTCCCGTCTTTGCAATCTCAGGACATAGATTTGAAGCGGATTTTTGCTCCTGAAGGAGAAAAAAGATACAACAATTACTTTACATTCCACTACAAACAAAATAGAAAAACAAACTTGTTTCGGATAAGAAAATAAATTGGGTTGAACATTTTGCTACCTGACGACGCTCTCGCTTAATTTGCCGTTTCGATTTCTTTTCCTTGACTAAATTAGGCTGGGGTTGCTTGGCGTTGGCCTTGGCTTCGGAGGCGGCATCGTTTTGGGTGGTTCTGGAGGGTGGTGGAGGTCGAAGAAACTCTGGCTTTATAGGTGCAATGGCTCGGGCCACCAACTCTTCCGGTGTTCGTTGAGTAGTTCCATTCGAGTTCGAAGGCGGTAGTGAAACTGGGACCGACTCCGTCTTCGAATCTGTCACTACAGACAGATCTTTCGAAGAGTCTTCCATGGAAGGCGAGTTCACTCGGTGAGCGCAGTCAGTTCGCTGTTTGTCTCTAGCAGTTAGTGAAGTTGTGTTCCTAGTAAAATGGAGTGGGTAGCTGGTTTAGGGTTTATGTTTAGTGGGATTTCTGTTTAAGGCCGAAGTTGTGTTCCAACGCTAAGAACCGCTTTTTTGTCGCGAGGAGAACAAGTATAGAACGATGTCGTTTCTTTCGATGAGAGAGAAAAAAAAACATTAAACGGTGACGTTTTGGTAAAATTTATGTGTCAGAAGTGGGATTTGAACCCACGCCCTCTCACGAAGACCAGAACTTGAGTCTGGCGCCTTAGACCACTCGGCCATCCTGACTAACTGCTCCTTTAAGTTTTTTTAAATATAAAAGGATTTACTTTCTAACAGAATGTAAGAAGAAACATGACAGAAGTAGGATTTGAACCCAAACCCTATCACAAAGACCTGAAATTGAGCCTGGCGCCTTAGAACACTCTGCCATCCTAACTTAGGATGTGACTTACTAAAGATTCATTAAACAAAACTTTAGGTATACATTTTGGTACTTAACGTTCACTTCTGTCCAATTAAGTATTTGAACTTTATATTTTCATTCAAAGTGGGTTTTAATCGGTTTTAAGTCCAATTTAATACTTATATAGTAAATTATAATTTAAACCATGAATCTGTGTCGGGTATCAGTTTCAATAAAGAATCTAAGTTTAAGTGCCTAATTAGACCAAAATGGTTTATGAGCCAAATTGAACATTGAGATCAAATTTATGTGGTTAGTTGGACAAAAACAAATGCATAGGTGCCAAACTAGATAATATCACAAAATTCAGATACTGAAATGTACATTTTCCCTTCAACAAACTTACGAAACCTTTGTAGCTGTGAACTAGGGATGGAAAAGAAACTGAAACCGAAGGATTTTGATCCAAATTTATTTCATAAGATCAAGTTGTAAATAGAATTAATAAGAATGGAAATAGAATTTAAGATAAAATTATGCAAATCCGTCCATTATAATTGCACGTTTGGTCCTCATATATAATATATTAGGTTACTTAGATTTTAAAATTTTCCCAACTGATACGAACCAACTTACCTCAGTAGTTAAAATAATCGTTATTATTACTATAGATCACAGGTTCGAACACTAAACAACTACAATAAGATGATTAAGCGTTCATTATCAAATGAGTGAGAGTATTTAGAACAAATATTACTTTGTAATCATCTTTACTTAATAAAAGAAAATTCCCAAACTCTTTTCCCACCAGCAGACAGTAGCCAAGCTCCACACCATTTTATAATCTAAAACAATTATACAATTTTATATAAAAGCTACTGACTCGACTCGGTTTTTGAGATCGTGTTAGCGTTCTGTTGTTGCGGCTGCTGAGAAATGTTAAGCTGAAACATTCGTTGATTAACCGAAAGCTGCTCGGGAACCATGCCTTCTGGGGGGTTGGAATCACCACCTAGCTGTTGAGTAGCATGCTTTAATCGCTGGACCTCCGCCGTTAATGCTTCGTTTAGAGCTTTGCAAATGCAACACAAAATTAATAAAGGATGAGTTACCAGTTCATAAAATTAATCATCGGAGATAATGAAATGATCATACCATCACGGAGTTGCGCCTGTTGCTCCATGGCTTGAATACGAAACTTCAACTCGTTGTTCTGATTAGTGAGTCCAACAGAATCCCTCTACATCAATTAAAACTTTGATAATGAGAAAAGAGAAAACTAAAACTAGGAATTATTGATAATAACATGCTATGCTCTAAAATCTTCAACCTGTAAAAGTGTTAGTTGAGCAGACAAGTTGGTAGCTTCGGTCTGCAGAGTCTGAACCTTGTGCTCCAACTCCGAAATATATCGCATCTTCCGTTCTTTGGAGCGTGCTGCTGATTGACGATTTGCCAATATCCTTCAAAGAACAAACAACATCAATTAAGCAAAATGCTTTTGTATGATCCAAAAAGTTATAAAGCAACACACTTGAACAGCAGGATACCTCTTTGCACGCTTTGGATCAGTCATTGCAATCTCAGCAAGCTTCTCATTTGCCATAATCTTCTTCAATTCAGCCTCGGTGAACTCACCATTTCCGAACTCCAAACTAAAGGCAACCGAGTTCCCATCAATTGAATTTCTAGGCAAGAGTTGTCCAGGCCGATTCCCAGGTGGAGGAGGTAATTTTGGAGATTCATCGCCAAATTCTAACTTGCCGATAAAACTATCCATCGAAACACTTCTATAATGTCTGCCTGTCAACGCCATGTCCTCTGCTGCACTTCTTTTGTTCCCTTCCCTCTTCTCAGTCAAATTCATTCCACCTCGTCTACCAATCCCACATTCATTCACACTGCTCTCAGCTTCGTTATCACTGATATCGACCCCATTGGTCTTCGACTCACTCGCTCTGCTGTCCAAATCTTCATGATTCTCGTTACCATCATTGTTCTTATCGTCACAAGGATTCGTTGCATCCATGTTATCCAAATTCATATAAGCAGAAAACAAATCATCAACATATTCCCCTTCTGATTTCCTTTCACCCATTCCTTCACCATTGACATCAGCAACTTTCTCCCAACAGGTTTCCTTCTTCACCAGCTTAGGCACTCCCGAATTCTCTTTACTCGAAACTGATCCCCTTAACGGAATAAGAGGCGGCGAAGATTGCAAGATCGTATTAAACCCGAACGGAACATCACTATTGGACCGCCTATGCGATTTTCGTGGCAGCAAGCTTTCACCGACCCGGGGCGAATTCCCCCTGGAAAAAGGGGAGGGTGGTAACAATGAATGTGAAGCTCCGTCCCTTTCATCCATCCACAGATCGGTGGAAACTTGGTCCGAAACCGCCATTGATGAAGAATCACGATATGGAGAAGGGCTCAAAGGGGGCAATGAATCGAGTGAAAAGAACGAAGAAGGCTGAGACAAAGACCGGGAATGAGTTGATCCCGAGTTAAAACCCTGAGAACCCATTTGCTGGTTCGAAGGGCGGGACATGGGGATCTGAGAATAAGGTGAAATGGGAGGGATCTGGTTAGGGTGTGAAGGGGGGATACCAGCTCTTTTGCTAGTTGCATCACGGCCACCGGCGCCGTCGCGTCTAGCCGAACTGGTTTGATTGGGATTCAACTGAGGTATTTCAAGGTGTTTCATTGATAAAAGTTGTTTGGGGATTGAAGATGATGATGTCCCAAATGAAGATTGAATCCTTTGCATCACATCAGTGTTACCTTCTTCACCATCACCCATATTCTCTTTGCTCACACAAACAATAATCAGTTCAAAAATGAAGGAAAAAAAAGCTCAAAAGGATGAAAAGTTTGGACAATTCAAGCTAATCTCAGTTCAGTCCAAAACAAAACAGCAAATCAAACCATCAGAATCTGCAAAATGAGAGACAGAGAGAATTTGACAGTAGAGACAGAGTAAATACAAATAAAGTAGAATCAGCAGAGCTTAGAGCAAGGATATATATATCAAGTAGTGTTTTAAAGTACCTTGTAAACATTGGTCAAATCAAGGGTGGGAAAAAGGAGCAAAAAACAATGGCCGTCCGGCGTAGTTTAGCAAATAACAAAGTGGAGGAGGCGAAGGTAGCATCACCACCAAAATCTCCGCCGAATTTAGCGGCAGGCGCCTTCTCTCTCTTCGTTTTCTCTATTGAAAGAATCACTATATATATATTTTATCGGTCTATAAGCATTGATAAAAAAAAAGGAAAATGAAATATTTTCTTGTGAATGGAGAGTTTCAACGGAGACGACACGGATTTCATGACATGCACGTAAATCGACGCGTGAAATTAAGCATTTTCATTTGAATTTTGCATTTCAATTTCATTCCGACCTATTTTTCACAATTTATCTCGCCTTTATCTCCGCAGGTTATTTAGCAACCAATAAAATCCCATTCATATTTTGTTTTACTTTTTGCCCGTATGAGATTAGTGTGGTAGATGATTCAATTAAAGATTAATTAATATTTAAATTGAATGTATTTAATTTGAATTTGAATTCAACTTGAATTTTTAATAATTCAAATCGAGTTATTGATACCTAATTTTAAAAATTTACGAGTAACTCAAAAAAATGATAAAAAATGTATTAGAGGTCCCTGTATTTATAAAAAAAAAATAATATGGTTCTCATAATATTTTTCTTTTAATGTGTTCCTACTACTCAAAAGATAAACTCAATATGATCATTAGACCAACGTTTTTCGTCGTTGACATGACAGTTCACTGTATTGATGTGGTAGTTGATAAAATGATAGATAACATAATATATGGACTAAATTAGTACGTCAAATATGATAGGTGGATTGATATGTTATCATTGTAGACCGTCATGTCAGCACCGTAACAATTAATAATGAAAAAGCGTTGGTCAAAATATTACATTGGATTTATTTTCTAAGTTGGAATATCACATTAAGAGAAAAAAACTAATACGAGAACCATATTGATTTTTTTTCAAAAGTACAAGGATCTCCCATATACCTTTTTTGAAAAAAATAATATATTAAAATTTTAATTTATTAAATTATATTTGTAACACCCCAATTTAGGGGTAAATTTAAGAAATTATAAAGTGGTTCGAAATTCGAACCCGGTACGCTGTTTTTCACTAATTTATCACCCGATTCGATCCGTTTATCGTAATTAAGCTTCGTTTTTTATATAAATTATGTTAATATGTATCTGAGGAATTATTGGAAGTTGAATTGAAGATCAAAGGCGTTCGAATGGAATTTTTATGGTCGATCAGTATTGTACGAAAATCGATGTAATATTTTACTACCTCTTTATGCTTTATGGAACATGTTGATATTGGTAAATGCATGAATAAGATAATGTTGGTCACTTTTATGGAGTTGAATAATTATACACTCGATATGAATGTGGTAGAAATTCGATAACTGAATTCGGATCGAATGATTAATATAAGAGATTAAGGGGATGTTAGAATTAAATTACAAGTTGTGTGATTTGTGATAAAGAAATCAGCCATGAATTTGTAACTTATATTTTAAAGGTTAAATGTTAAAGGTACTTGGATGGGAAATTATGAGAATACTCCGGTAGGGTAAAATTACAAAAATACCCTTATATCTGTGGATGACAAGAATTGTCCCTGGAAGTTGGTTAATAACTCTGAAAAGACATATTGATCCGATATAATTACAGATGTGCATTAGAAATGCTAGTTTTGCTTAGAAAATTAGGATAATTGGTTTTTAACCCGAAAAGGGTTTGTATAAGATACTATAAGTCTGTTAAAGAATCATTTCGAGATCAAAGAATGTTCGGGAAAGCAATTAACCATTGGATCTCTAAATTATAATTATTTTCGTTAAGAGTTAAAACCAAAATTATCTGATTAAGAAATTATGAAAATGCCCTTGAGAGGTAAAAATAGTCCAAGTTGACTCTAAATGAGAAAGTAACATGAGAATTTATTTTTAAACCGATAAATTACTGATTTGGTTGTTGAGATCCTATTTTTGTACGGAAAATTCTGATAATCCGTTAGTAATATCTGAGAAGGCATTTAACTTGGAAATCTCCGACTTGAGTAAGTACGTGAAGAATAATAATTTATCGATGGTGATATTTTGTCATAATAGTTCAAAGGGACTGACATAAATGATAAGTTTGAATTAAATAATAAGACCGAACGGAAGGAAATGATTAAAATATTCTAGATTTATAAAATGACCAAAATACCCCTGGAATGAAAATGACTCAAGAATGTCACCAAGCTCAGGAATGAATGGATATACTCAAGCTTTGAAATGAATAGAAAAACGTTGAGCACCAAAATGACCAAAATACCCTATTGGCCTAGAATAAGTAAATATTTTGGATTAATTAAGGAATCCAAATAAACATGGATGCTGTACTGCTCTTAAAAGTTATGGAACGCAACTTAAGTGATCAACCAACGTTAGTGCTATATCATTACCTGAATGATATAAGTACCACTTGAATGTTTGTTCATCTTCTCAAATTTGGATCGATGATAATTCTGGAAGTACTTGGCTCAGCTCAACTCTAGAGCACATACAGTACTAATAAGTGGGTATTCGTGAGTCAAATCAACCACGAATACCAGAATGACTTTATTATATGAATAAATTGAACTGAAATGAAGTACAATGTGTATTTGAAATTCAGAAACTTCTGAATTATTCTAGAAACTTTAAAGTAATCGGGATAGACTTGCTTACTAAACGAACTAAGTAACATCAATAACTGAGGATTAAATAGGTGATTGGATGAGTTTGGAAACACTGTTGAACTTACATGATGAACTGTCCTTATGGGTTATGAGTCATGGATCAAGAACGTCTGTATTTCCTGATATTGTTGAAACGTGGAAATGAAATAAAGACCGTTGGAAGATTTTTTCAGTGATGATTATGAGGATGATCTATGGATCTGCATTATGATATTAAAGAGTAAATACACTAGAAGGATATTGAATTGACTTGTTGACATGCATCAGTTTAGGAGTTGTGTAACTCGAGTTGTTTGATAATATGATCGATAGTCATAGATTGTAAATGACTTGAATCTTCGATTCTATATTTTCATCTAAAATCACTTCGATCATGTTGGAAAACGCAAGTAACGCATAAGCAAAAGATTCTGAATTCCTCATTTGGTTCAATTGGGCTGAAATCCTATGAATTCAAAGTATATTCCTGAATACCCCTAATTGTTTGGGTAATGGAATCACTCGTAGTAAATCTGAATTTAGAATTATTCTATATAAAGGTTCTTGAACGTTTTCCTGATGCATATAGAAACTTAGTGGAATTCTAAAAGTATCAATCTGAAATGTCTAATTAGATCGGTTAGAAATCGATTCTCTTCAATAAGATCTTATTATTGGAATCCGATCAAATTGCAAAAGTTCATGTTATTCATATTGATAACTATAAAATGCATCTGAAAAATAATTGGATTCTTTAGTGTGTTCCTTATATTTTGAAAAATTGTTTTATTGTTTTAACATGTGGTACACTGAAATCTATGGTTACTATTTTATGGATGCATCGACTTAACGGTGATGGATGGATTTGTATCATTGTATAAACTATATCTTGGAGATACAGATTTGTAAAGTACAGCTCTGATCAAGCTGGACAAATTTTATGGATCTAATGTGACTCTTAGGTAGGCTCTGCGGCCCTAAGATCATTCTCGGGTAGGCCCTGCGGCCCTAAGATGTGTTCTTAGGTAGCCCCACGGCCCCGAAATCTATCTTGGGTAGGCTCTCAGGCCCTAAGATGTTCCCTTAGGTTAACTCTTTGTAAGATGGTTTTAAAATACGAGTTTAAAAAGCTCCACTACAATATGGTTTATGGGATTTTACAGAACTATCATTTGATTAGTGTACCTATTATGGTTTTATCATACTGATGGAACACACTAGGCATCCTATTCGACCTTATGAAAACGTGATAGTATGAAAGATTTCTTATGAACTGAGATTCATGGCTTCTACTCGATGAACTTCTAAGGGAACCCCAGATTATTCCGCCCACTAGTATACGTATGATTCAATAAGGAAATTATGGCATCCCATTTATCTGCATGTCATGTAGCATCATCTGGTAGTTATGTATTACTGAGCTTTTCGAAACTCACTCTATTACTCACCTTTTCAGGTTAAAAGAATTGTACCAGTGCATCTATCGACTTCAGTAAGGGAGTTCTTCCGGCGTTGTTTTCAGAGTATGATACATGTGATTAGGGGGCATGTAATTGTATTTTGTTTTAAATACGATTATAAAAATCTAGTTTATTTATGAATACTGATAAATGATTTTATGAGTTTACATATTCTGATAAAAAGTTTTAAATTTTCCGCCATTTTTACAGTGGGTCGCTCCGGTGGCCCTAATGTGACACTCCAGATCGGATCGGGTTATCCGCATCGGTCTGAGGGGGTTACATTAAGTGGTATCAGAGCTATAGTTTGAGTCAAAATTTTTCAAGATAGACCAGCCGGTCGAATGTCAAAATATGTCTGATCAGTACATGCCCCTAGACTATAATTGTACCTCTCTGAGCCGGAACTCTAGGGATGAGTCCCTATCTGTAGCGAGTAAACCAAAGTTTCTATCCGTTAAGGTTATACTTGTACAAAAAGGAACATCATTAACATATGTCTAAACGCTGTAAAATACCTTACGAGCTATGTGAGAGTTATTTATCAGATAAATTCTGACCCGGCTCCATAAATGAAATTGGGATATGCTGCTGCTCTATGAGTCTATTCACATAACCAAAGCTGAATTGATTTCACAATGATAAAGTTGTTTTGATTATTTACTTAAAATGAGAGAGATTTCTGATAAGAATGTATACTCAACTGGTTAAGGATTAGTGGGAGAGTTCCGAATTGAGGGGTGATGTTATGATCGGTTTGGCCGTTCTGAACCGGTTTGACCGGTCCGAACCGGGTTGATCGGCCTGACCCGACCCGACTCGTTGATCGACCCGACCCGTTGACCTGACTCGATCCAGTGACATTCTGAGAATTTTTATGAAAAAGGTGACATTCTGAGAATTTTTGTGAAAAATGTGACATTTTGTGAATTTTTGTAAAAAGTGATATTCTGGGAATTATTTTGAAAAAGGTGATATTCTGGGAATTATTTTGAAAAAGGTGACATTTTGGGAATTTTCGAATGTGGACTATTGACCCCCTTTGACCGGCTTTAAACGCCCATTAAACGATCTTTGATTTTGTTCGAGTATACATATTCTGACATTTTTCGACGTGCCGAATCCGTTTCCGAAGTCCGTTTCGCCAAATTCGAACCCAAAGGTCTCCAAATCATCAGTCAAACCCGTTGACTTTTATTTTGACAAAGAATTTGAATTTTTGAAAAGTCATACTTTATGTTTTTCGACGTCCTGATTCCGATTCCGCAATCTATTTGGCCAAATTCATACTCGAAATTTTCCAAATTGATAGTCAAACCCAAAAAATGCTTATATACTTAAGAATTTTAGCTTTGATCAATTAAGTAAGACTTGGGGTTAATAAATTATTATTATTTGAAGGTACAGGAGACTCTCCGGATCGTTCGACAGCTCGACCCAGCTCTTCTAGATCAGTTAAACCACGTGTGCCAGTATTCACCTGTAAGACCCGTAAATTTTATGATTTCATAAATTAATTTTGTTACCCATTAGTAATATAGTGTTATTATGGATTAGGTTCGAAAACAGTAGCAGAGCGTGGCGAGACCAGCAATCACTATATCTACTATTTGAACATATTGTCGAGGTGTGTTTCATGTGTACTACTTGATTGTTTTATATGTTTTGAAATATGGTACATTGAAAGCTATGGTTTAATGTTTTATTAATCCATCTATTTACTGGTGATGGTTTATGGAATATGATTGATATATGATTGGTTTTCATTGGTATATGATAATATTGATTATGAAATTATGGAAATTATGCTTACTGCATAAATAGTATTTTTGGAAATATTGATTTTGGGTTGGATTGCATTACGGAGGTACAGCTCTGATTAAGCTGGTAAATCTTATGGACCTAATGTGACTCTTGGTAGGCCCACGGGCCTCAAGATGCTTCATTAGGTTGGCTCCCTTTGCTGTGTGCTTAGGGTAAGCCCTACGAACTTACGGACTTAAGGATACAGGCCCGAAAGCCTATTCTTAGGTTGGCTTTCTTTTTGCTGAGTGCTTAAGGTAAGCCATATGGACGCAATTCTGGGGAATTGCGGATGGTGTACAGGAGAAGGGTTTTAAATTACGAGTTTCAAAAGTTAAACTTCATTATGGTTTGATGATGAATTTCTGAACTATTACTCATTTACTGTATCTACTATGATTTTATTGTACTATTGGGACACACTGAGCCTAGCTCACTTTTCGAAAATGTTTTCCCCTTTCAGATACGGTTGGTTAGATTCACCTGATTGAGCACTTGGAGGATCAACATATCTCTTGAAGTATATCGTATTGTAATGTTTTATCTTTTAAGTTGATACTATTTTGGTAACATGTGTCTTATTTTAAAGTATTAAATTTTATAATGATTACTCCTTTGCTATTTATATTTGGTTTATCGTAAATTTGGATTTTTAAGACATGTTAATTAATATTTAATACGATATTTATTTATTATTTTAAAATATAAAATAAATTATACGATATTAATCTATTAAGATTAAATATTAAATATAAAAAATATAACAATAATAATAATTACTTTTTAAAATTAAAAACATTTTAATAATTTATATCTTAATAGTGGATATAAGTAAAGAAAAAGCTTCGGCCCAAGGACTTAATTTGGGCTATATAGCCTATATACTGCAAAAGACAAACCTGAGCAAATATAAAATAAAATAAATAAAAAACTGTGCTTGATTTGTGTCCTTCCAAACTGGAGGAATAAATAAATAAACTCTCTCTGGAAACGAAGCAACTGTCAACAGCATTCTCCTCAGATCTAGACCGCCGCGCCTCAGATCGTCTAAATCCACCATGTCTTCCACTTTCAGCGGTGACGAAACGGCTCCTTTCTTCGGCTTCCTCGGTGCCGCCGCTGCTCTCGTCTTCTCCTGTAACGATTCCTTACCTTTCTTCCTCCTGATTTATTGTTATTCTTACTTTTTAGACTTAGATCTCTTGTAATTTCTATTTATTCGATTTTCTCATGGAAAATTGATAGATCACTATTGCTAGACTTTTAGCTTCATTGAACGATCTGATTGAGAATAGTTTATGGTTTTTATATTAAATTTATGTATAAATTTGTTAGTGTATTATAGGATTGATATGGATCTATGATGTTGAGATATAAACAATTCCGAAATAAAATTTTACTTGATCTAGCTGTGAAATTTTTATACTTTTAATGTTTTAGTTTTTATTGGAATTAAACGGCAGAATTCACCTATATTATAGTTATTTAGATGTGGATCTAATAAGAATTTTGCATTCAAATAATATCAGCAGGTTTAAATTGAAGTAAAATAAATTGTGAATTTAGGTTGGATTCCGTTCAAATAAACTCAGAAATGATTTAAATCGGAAAAATAGATAAATTTGGTTATGGATTGCTTTCAAGTTTACTCGTCATTTTTTGAATTGAAAAATGATAAATTAATGTTTGGAGATAGGTATGGGAGCTGCATATGGGACTGCTAAGAGCGGTGTTGGTGTTGCTTCAATGGGTGTGATGAGGCCTGAGTTGGTGATGAAATCTATTGTTCCAGTTGTTATGGCTGGTGTTTTGGGTATTTACGGGTTGATTATTGCTGTCATTATTAGTACTGGTATCAATCCTAAGGCGAAATCATATTACCTTTTTGATGGATATGCCCACCTTTCCTCTGGTCTTGCGTGTGGCCTTGCTGGCCTATCTGCAGGAATGGCAATTGGAATTGTTGGTGATGCTGGTGTCAGGTATGCTGATTTTAGCGCCATGTTTGAAACTTACATATGACACTGTTATTATTGATCGATACCAGAAGTATTTGACCTGTGAAAATGTTGATTTATACCTTTTCATAAAGTGAAAACAGGCCTCTAGGAAATTTTGGTGACAATGAGATCCGATCAAAGCTTTGGTTGCTGAGACCAAGTGTTTAAATTATACGAAAATTATCGATAGATTGATAATGTTTATCTGTCGCTTATTGTTGAAAATATTGTGAATGCTCAATGAAATCAAACATTTACTTTAAAAACCATTTCAAATGATATTTAAACGATATTGTGTTGCAGAGCTAATGCACAGCAGCCAAAACTGTTTGTTGGAATGATCCTTATCCTCATCTTTGCTGAAGCTTTGGCTCTTTATGGCCTTATCGTCGGCATCATCTTGTCTTCTCGAGCCGGCCAATCTAGAGCAGAATGAGATGGTTGCAGAGCTGTTCCGGTGATGTTTTATTGTTTATCGTATAATTTAACGAGGAAAGAGTATCGTGTATGGTCGGGTTAATGATGATTGGACATCGAATGCGGGGTTCACATTAATATTGATGAAAACAACAACTTGAGCAGTCATATGGTAGTTTCTCCTTCCTCTTTGTAGAAGTAGAATTGAGTTTATTCTCTTAACAAAACGTTGTGGAGCGTTTCCCTGTTTGATTTTTGTTTATCTTTGTATTGCAGAGTGTTGAACAATTTTAATGGAAGTTTAATTTGTTTACAGAGCAATAGTGAGATAGTTGTTCCCGAAGTTGGATTAAAACAACAACTAAGTTTAAACTAAAAACGCGTATGGTTATGTTCATTTATTTACCCTTAAGCTTATTTGTTTTCGATAATAAAATTATGTTGGTATTCATTAAAGGTGTAAATGTCCGTATTCATTTGTTTAATGTTCGTGAACATATGTATAAACGTTTTCTTAAACAATTAACAAACATATTCAAAACATTCAGTAGACTTACACATGAATATGTTTTTGAACATATAGTTGGACATTTTTGCTAGAGATGAGCATTTGATCGAATCGAGTAGAATTCAAAATTTTGAATTATTTGAGTTGACGAATTGTATTTTATGATTCGAACTTAACTTGAAAACTTTTTTTAGTTGAGTCAAGTATTTCGAGATTTTATTCAAATTTTATTATAATTATTTATCGTATTATGATATTGGATTGATTCTAATTTTTTGACTTTCTCTAATCATATATATATATATATATATTCTTTTTACATTATAATGTTATTTATTATATCAAATACAATCTAAAATTATAAAATATATTTTCAATATTATATTTTAAAGAAGGTATGTTAAGGATAAAGTACTGATGAGAGTATAAAGGAGTAAAAAATTTATGGAAAGAAAGAATTTGCAAGTAATTACAAAAGATCAAATTGAGTAAAATGCAAAGTTAAGAAATTAAATAAAAAAGAGAGAAATTTTTTAATAAAAAAATAGGAATTGAAGTTACATAGGTATTTTACAATGGTATAGCAGTGTATGGTTCAAATTTGATAAAAACGAACTTAAATGAAGAATGAATTGAAGAAATAACAAAATCATGAAAAGTTGATGGACTAAATTAAATAATAGAAAACTTGTTATCAAAAGAGGAATTGAGAATACATAGGTATTATATGAAGGTTTTGGAGCACGTGGTTCAAATTTGGTAAAAATTGACTTAATATGAAAAAGAAATTGAAGGAATAAGGAAATTAGGGACTAAATCGTAAAATTGTTTAAACACTCATTCAAATTTTTTATTTTTTGAGTGACTCAAAATTTTCAAATTTCAACTCGACTTGAACTCAAAAACCAAATTGACAATTCGAGTTGACTCGAATAACTCAAATAATTCAACTTAAATAACTCGAAATTTAAAAAAAAATGATTTTTCATGTCGAGCCGAGTTTTGCATACATATGGTTTTCAAAAACAATTAAAAATGTGTTCATAAATAATAAATTATAAATTAACACATTTATTTTGCTAAGTATAAAATGATTATATATTAATACCAAGTAATTATATTATAAATAAAATAAAGGTAAACTACACATTTAGTACATAAATTATTAATTTTGGTACATTTTAATACCTAAACTTTTGTTTTTTTTTAAATTATATCTAACTTTTAGTTTATGTTCATCTAAGAGATACTATGATTGATTATAGTGATAAGTACGAGCTTTTTATTATGATGGAGGCAACCAGTAGTGAAGAGACTACTAGAGAAACTATGTCGAAGGAGGTTATTAATTACTGATGTTTAATGAGATAGCTTCTACCATTTTCAGTATTGTTGAGACTGTAAATTCAAAAGATTCTTTAGGTCAGAACGTGCTTAAGGCATCTACTAGAGATGATGGTAGGCCTGCTAGAGACGCTGCAAAAGGAGTGATATATTTTTGAAAGAGTTAAAAGTTATCAATAATAATAATGGTAAAAAGAATGCTAAGTAGGGTAAGATAAGGAGAGACCTGTGGATTACTCCTTAAATGATAATGTTGTTTTTAGAATTCTAGGGTTTTAAATCACCCTAATAAACAAAAACTTATGGTAGATAGGATTTCTTTCTTAGATGTTGATATAGTTTATTTGGTTGAAACTCGGGTGAAGAATAATAAAGTTTAGGCCATTTGGGATATGATTTTTATTGGGTGGAGGGGTTTTCATACTATGATTTTGCTGAGAATGGAAGAATCTGGCTTCTTTGTAAGTCTAATGTTGGCATCTTAAACATTGCGAGGACTGATCAAAGTATTACTTGCTTGGTTCGTCTGGGTATGGTGGAGTTCTTTGTCACTGCTATCTATGTTGTGATTTTGGTTGTGATAGCTTATCTTTTTAGCAACATCTTAGAGGTCTGGGGATAAGCCTTGGATTTTTGGGAATGATTTCAATATTATTTACAGTTAAGTTGATAGATCTTAACCTGTTGGAAGCTATCTTTGGAAGGATATAGAGGATTTCAATTTGTGTATAGAGACCATTGGTCTATTTGCCTATGCTTTTGATGAGTCTCTTTTTACTTGGTCAAACCATCAGGAGGGGTCTTTCCTGGATAGAAAGTTTGATCGAGTCATGGTCTCTACTTCGTGGTTGGAGGCTTTCCCTCGTGCTCGAGTGAGTTTTCTTGCCCCTGGTTTGTCAGATCCCTTCCCTAGTCTTGTTTTGATGGATTTAGTTAAAAAATTATCCCTAAACCTTTTAAGTTCTTTAATTTTTGGGTGCAACACCCATATTTCCCGAGTATTATTTTGTAGTGTTAGCAGCAACCTCTTTTTGGCATCTTTAATACTACGAGTGTTCGTGTTCTGTAAAATGCTTGAAATCTGTTTTGAAGGAGTTTAATTTTGTACAATATGATGATTTTTCTGGGAATGTGAAAGAGAAAAGGCTATTCAATTTTTTTAGATGCTGCTTGGTACGAGGGAGAGTGAGGTTTCTGTACCTCCCGTGGATTTTCTATCTAATTTACTCGGTGTCTCCTTTATTGCTGAAGCTTGTGAAGTTTTTCAGCATGATGTTTCCCATGATGAGGTTAAAAGAGCTTTATTTGACCAATGCTCGGATAAGGCACCTGTGCTTGATGGTTTTTTCGCTTATTTCTTCAAGGTTGCTTGGAATGTCATTGGTGAAGACGTTTTACAAGTTGTTCTGTTTTTCTTCTAGAATGTCTCTCTTCTGCCTGGGTTCAATGCTACGACTCTTGTTTTGGTTCCCAAAATTTTGAATCCTAGTCATATAAAGGACTTTCTTGTTTCAACTTTATATACAAATGTATTACTCGGGTTATTGTTAATAGGCTAAAGTCTTATTTGTCCGAGGTTATTTCTTGTAGTCAGAGTGCTTTTGTTCCTGGAAGAGACATTATGGACAACACTCTAATGGTCCAAGAATTGGTCAGTGGCTATAGCAGATTCTCTTTCTCTTAGGTGCGTTCTAAAGTTGAATTTACAGAAGGCTTTTGATTCTATATATTAGAATTTTGTGTTGAAGGTTTTGGAAGCTCTCCATATGTTTGTTGTTACGATTCAATAGATTAGGGTGTGTATTACTGAAAAAATAGAAAACAAATTAACCCACAACTACTATACTTTTTTCAAGTGATTTTGTATTTCTTTTTTGTTTTATATAAATGAAATCAACAAGGTCCTTTATATAGGCACTAGGTACTACTCTTCCAAAAACAAAAAATAAATTCTATTAAAACTCATAAAAGATAATTAACTCCTATATCACCCATTGGCCTTTCACCTACTAAAACTCATAGACCTTTTATTTTCCCATTAACTTCTAAATTTAAAGAAAAACATTAAGGATTACATTTAAGTTTATTCAACAAAACTCCCCCTTAAACTTAAATGTTTCTACCATCCATCATGCCAATCATCTTCTTGCATTTGTCAAGAAGTACTTTCGGTAGCGGTTTTGTGAAGATATCCGCAACTTGATCCTGACTTGCCACATGCACCAATTCCACACTTCCTTCCTTCACATGATCTCGGATAAAGTGAAAACGAATATCGATGTGTTTGCTTCTTTCATGGTTCACTGGGTTCTTTGCCAACTCAATTGCTGATTTGTTGTCAACATGAATCACAGTTACACCTAGTTGCTTTAGCTCCATCTTGCTCAACAAATTTCTAAGCCATATCGCATGACATACACACCAAGATGCTGCCACATATTCTGCTTCACACGTCGAGAGCGTCACAATCGGCTGCTTCTTTGAAAGCCAAGTAAACGCAGTATCTCCTATAAAAAAAACACATATCCCGATGTGCTTTTCCGATCGTCTATGTCTCCGCACCAATCGCTGTCGGAGTACCCAACCAATTTGTAATCTTCTGCTTTCGAGTAGAACAACCCGAGTGACACTGTTCCTTGGATGTATCGTAGGATTCGCTTCAACGCCTTCCAATGTGAATAAACCGGCTCCTCCATGAACCGACTTACAATGCCGACACTTAACGAAAGATCCGGCCTTGTGCATGTGAGATATTGAAGGCTTCCTACCAAACTCCGGTATCTACTCGCATCGACACGTTTCCCTCCATTGAACTTTGATAATTTTGCACCTGGTTCCATTGGTGTTGATACCGGGTTGCAATTTTCCATATTGTATTTCTTCAAAATCTCTTTTGCATATGTCTCCTGCGATACAAAAATACCTGTCTCTACTTGTCTAAACTCCAAACCAAGAAAAAACTTCATTAAGCCCAAATCTGTCATCTCAAATTCCTGTGTCATTGTGCCCTTAAACTCTTCTATCATCTCATCATTGTTACCCATAAAAATGAGATCATCAACATAAAGAGCAACAAATAACACGTTACCTCCATTCTTCTTTGCGTAAAGGGCATGCTCGTAGGGACATTTCTTGAACCCGTTCTCCATGAAATATGTATCGATACGTGTATTCCATGCCCGTGGTGCTTGCTTCAACCCGTAAAGAGCCTTCTTCAATTTTAACACTTTTTTATCTTCTTCGACTTTTACGTACCCGGGTGGTTGTTCGATGTAGATATCTTCTTCAAGCACACCATTCAAGAATGCCGACTTGACATCCATTTGAAATATCGGCCATTTGAATTGAGCAGCTTGTGAAATGAGTAATCGAATTGTCTTCATTCTTGCAACAGGAGCAAACACCTCGTCATAGTCGATTCCTGCCTTTTGCTTGTATCCTTTCGCAACAAGTCGCGCTTTGTATCGTTCTATCTCGCCTTGAGCATTCATCTTTTTCTTGAACACCCACTTCACACCAATAGGCTGACTTCCTTTCGGCAATTCTGCTAGCTCCCATGTGTTGTTACGGTCAATCGCTTCAATCTCCTCGTTCATGGCAGTTCACCACTTCTTGTCTCGCAACGCCTCTTCAAAGCTGATATTTTCAACATCTGCCAAAAGACATACAAGGTTTACTTCATTTGTCGAATCATACAAATCTTATAAACTTCGTATTTTAGGTTGTCTTGGTTCATCTTCATCATCGGTAGTTTCAGAGTTTGTTGGTATGCTTTTTGGTAAAACGATTGAGGATTCTCCAACTTCGATGATAGCCTCTGTCGAATTGTTCCAGTCCCACTCGCTTGCTTCGTTTATTCGCACATCACGACTCACCATCACCTTCTTGCTTATCGGATCGAATAGCTTGTACCCTTTTGTCTTCTCATCATACCCAATAAAAATATACTTTTTACTTTTTTCTTCGAGCTTCGTTCTTCGTTGATCCGGTACATGTGCATAAGCAACACTACCGAACACTTTGAGATGAGAAACTGTCGGCTTTTGTCCGCTCCATGTCTCTTGTGGTGTTTGATCATCTAACTTTACATGTGGACATCGATTTTGTACATAGATGGCACATTGCATGGCTTCTGCCCAAAATTCCTTCGGCATCTTCTTGCTCTTAAGCATTGATCGAACCATGTCGAGAATGGTCCGGTTCTTCCTCTCGGCCACACCGTTTTGTTGAGGAGAGTATGGTGCAGTTAGAAATCTCCTTATGCCTTGCTCCTCGCAATACTCCATGAAAGCTGTCGAAGTATACTTGCCACCTCTATCGGATCGTACGGCTTTGATGTGTCTACCAGTTGCCTTCTCTACCATCACTTTGAACTTTTTGAACACCTCAAATGCCTCGGATTTTTCTTTCAAAAAATGAACCCAAGTTTTTCGTGAGAAATCATCGATAAAGGAAATGAAATACCTTTTACTGCTGAAAGATTCGGGGGTGATTGGTCCACATATATCGGTATGAATCAACTCGAGAGGGTGTTTAGCTCGATATTCTGCCTTCTTTTGAAACGAGGTTCTCGATTGCTTGCCAAGCACACATTCTTCACAAAATTTGCCCTCATAATCTATATCCGGCAGCCCGTGCACCATGTTCTTCTTTGCTAACTCTTTTAGACCACCATGATGTAAGTGACCAAAGCGAAGATGCCACAGTGATGCTTTGTCTTCTACGTCGATTTGCAAACATTTTTCTCGCACGCTTCTCAAATTTAGTTTGTACATCCGATTTTTGCCCATCTCGACTCGAGCAACTATACGCCCTTGCTTGTCCTTCAAGTGTAGTATTCGATCTTTCAAAAGTGCCGAGTAACCTTTCTCTGTGAGTTGCCCCATACTCAAAATGTTTGTCTTGAGATCTGGTACATAAAAAACATCTTGGATTGACCCTATCAAGCCATCCTTTTGTAAGTAACAAATCGTACCTCGGCCTTTGACCTCCACTTTTGATGCATCTCCAAAAGACACATGACCATCTTCAATCTTTTTCATCTCTTTGAATAGGTACTTGTGACCACACATATGGTTGCTTGCGCCCGAGTCGAGGTACCACAGAGTGTCATTGTTGATGTTGAATTCATTTTGAGCCATCAAGAGAAAGCCTTCATTCGCTTCATCTTCCAAGGCTAGGTTGATTGTTTTTTCCACCTTTTTATCGGCTCGACAATCTTTTGCAAAATGACCCACTTTACCACAGTTATAACATTTGTCAGAGTTGCAATCCTTCGCGTAGTGACCATACTTGTAACACTTGTAGCACTCGATATTGGAATAATTTAATCGGCCGCCTCTTCCTCGTCCGCGCCCTCTTCCGCGCCAATTTGGTTGGCTTGACTGTCCATTCTCCTTATAGTACCTTTCATGACTGTCGCCTTGACCACCGCGACCATATCCACGACCTCCACGGCCACGACCTTTACCTCAAAAATTTTGAGAATAAAATACCTTTTCGTCTTTGATTAACGCCTTGGTTTGAAGTGCTTGCTCAAGTGTCTCCTCCTTCTTTTTCTTTTTACGTTGTTCGTGTGCCTCGAGTGAACCAGTAAGCTCGTTGACTGTGAGTGTCGCAAGGTCTTTTGACTCTTCTATTGCGCACACAACATTCTCAAAATTGTCGGTTAATGATCTCAAAATCTTCTCCACAACTCGTGCCTCGGTTAACGCTTCGCCATTACGATTGAGTTGGTTCACCACGGTTTGTACACGTGTGATGTAGTCGGATACACTTTCCAACTCCTTCATCTTTATGCTTTCTAACTCGCCACGAAGAGTTTGGAGACGCACTTGCTTGACTCGGTCGGCTCCTTTGAACACTTTTCCTAAAATGTCCCACGCTTCTTTTGAAGTAGCTGCACCAGCAATCTTCTCAAAGCCCGACTCGTCAACAGCTCAGAATAACATGTATAGTGCCGCCTTATCCTTCGATCGCGCCTCTTTCAACGCCTTGGTTTGAGCCGCCGTATATCCCGTGGTTGTTGTTGGTTCTTCGAAACCTTCTTCGACCACCTCCCATGCATCTTGAGATCCGAGAAGAGCTTTCATTTGAATGCTCCAGTTCTCGTAGTTCGCCTTCGTTAGTCGTGGTAGCGACATTTGACCCGTCACATTTGCCATTGACTCTGATACCAATTTGAAAAAATAGAAAACAAATTAACCCACAACTACTATACTTTTTTCAAGTGATTTTGTATTTCTTTTTTGTTTTATATAAATGAAATCAACAAGGTCCTTTATATAGGCACTAGGTACTACTCTTCCAAAAACAAAAAATAAATTCTATTAAAACTCATAAAAGACAATTAACTCCTATATCACCCCTTGGCCTTTCACCTACTAAAACTCATAGACCTTTTATTTTCCCATTAACTTCTAAATTTAAAGAAAAACATTAAGGATTACATTTAAGTTTATTCAACAATTACCACATCTAGGTACTCTATTTCTTTAAATGGGCTTTGGTTGGGTTTTTCCATGGGGCTAAAAGCGCGAGACAAGGGGACCTATTGTCCCCTTATCTCTTTTTTTTTTACCATGAATGCCCTCTCTAAGATGCTGGATAGGGCTGTGAGCTTTTGTGTTTTTTCTTATCATTCTAAGTGCCATAGACCCAATCTTACAAACTTGTGCTTTACTAACGATATTATGGTTTTCACGAGGGGTTCTATTGATTTCATTTTGGGGGTTTGGAGGATTTTACGTTTGTTTCAATTGTTTTCTGGTTTTCATGTTAATTTTTCTAAATATGAGATTTTCCCTTTTGGTGTGGAAGATTCAGTTTTGAACTTTGTTGTGGAATGTACAGGGATTAGAATAGGGAGACCGTCTATTCGCTGCTTGGGGATTCCTTTCATCACTGGAAGACTCACTATGAATGTTGTAAGTCACTGTTAGACATGATCACTAATCGGCTTCAAGGGTGGTACGCAAGGCAATTATCTTATTTTTAGTATTCAATAGTTTTGGAGTAGGAAACTTTTGTTGCATGCAACTTTTATCAAAAGAATAAATCATCGTTGTTCTAGATTTTTTTTGGAAAGCCAAAGACAAAGCTGTAAAGGGTGCGAGGGTGATTTGGTCTCGTATTTGCATCCTGAGGTTTGAAAGAGGATTTGGGCTCAAGGACTTGGGTGATTGGAATGTGGCGAACTCCTTGCTGTTGATTCGGAAGGTGTTGCTCAAGGAAGGGTCTTTGTGGGTAGCTTGGATCCACGAATATGTGCTTAAAGAGAGCTCTTTCTGGCTGGTCTCAATTCCTCAATGATATAGCTGGACTTGGAGGAGTCTGTCGAGACTAAGAATGAGGGATCTCATGGTTCAGGTCTTGGTCTCCCTATTGCTCGTATGAACACTGTTTCTGAAATCTGGGAGGTTGTTCGTGAGAGGGGGATAAGGTTGGCTGGGATAGGGTGATTTGGCACTCAGGGCACATCCTATAGCATGTCGCGGTGGCTTGGATGTGGGTTCTTGATGAGCTCCCTACTAAAAGTAGGCTTTTGACATTTGGGATAACTATATATGGTTTTTGTGTTCTTTGTACAAGAATGTTTGAGAGAAGATATCACTTATTTTTTTATTCTGATTTCTCTAAGGAAGTTTAAATGAATCTTCTGTGTACGAGTTTCATATACAGGTCTGTTCGGGGGTGGCTACAAGAGCTCGAATGGATGTGCGACATGCCTCGAAGGAGATCTTTTTTGGTTATGGTGCTTAAGTTGACTTGGAATGATTGTATCTATCTCTTGTGGCGTGAGAAGAATCGTCGACTTTTTTCAAAATGTTGAAGCTACAGTTCAAGAGGTGACTCACCTAATTCGGGATTGTGTCAAGCTCAGGCCTCAGCTTTACGGGGAAGATGACGACTAGCCAGTGGCAAGTTCATAGAGACTTATGTGTGAGTTGGTTTCTTGCTATAGGTATTTGTTTGTTATTTATACATCTGTTTGCAAGCTACAGTTCTTATATTGTATAGTCCTATTTATTTTTTTATAATTAGGTTTGGTAGTTTTAATAAGAAATTGATTAATTTATTTTAATTTTTATCCAAATTATTTTTATAATATTTTTATATTTCTTCTATATTTAATAAAACTAATTTAAAAAAACATTTATATCCGATACTAATCATTATTCATTATCATCCTGACCCATTTTGGGGCTATTTGAGAATTATTTTAGAAAATCATTACTAAAAAAGAAGTTTGGGCTGGAGTGAATCATAATCTGGACATAGGTTTGATTAAAGCCCAAAGCTAATCAGATTAAAAGAAAAAAAAAGGAAGAAGCCCAATTCTCGAATTATTTCTAGGCTTCTATTGGCAGCCTCCGCCCCCGGCATGGTTCGAGAGATTGCGAGCAGAGGAAATGGCGATGATTCAGTGGTGCGGCGCGGTGGCTAGGAGAATAACGGTGAAGCAGTGGCCTCCTCTATCACAGGATTTGCCGAGTGGAGTAATGGCGGCGGAGGCGCCGATCCTTTGCGGCAGGGGCGACAAAAAGACGAAGAGAGGGAAGAGATTCAAAGGATCGTACGGGAACGCCAGACCCAAGAAGGAGAAGATGATCGAACGCATCAAAGACAAGGTCGAAGTTCCCAGGTCCACCCCTTGGCCTCTCCCCTTCAAGCTCATCTAAAACAAATTAATTATCTTTCCTCTCTTTTGCATTAGCTGTAGTAATAAATCTTAATTTTGCACAATTTTTTTCTGGATTTTCTGTTTGTTACTTTAATATTTGTGGGGTTTGAGTTTTAGGCATGGGTTTTTGTTTCTGGAAACTGTTGTTACGAAATTAGTAAATTCGAATGCTTGTTAAATTGGTGTCAAATGGTTGCGAATTAGCCCATGAAAATTTTAGAATATGAAAAGAGAAAACCCTAACTGTTATGCAACAATTATTATTTGGCACCATAGCTTGTAACACTGAACAAATAGGACATTGGGACATATTTTCTGTGAATGCCTTTGAATTCCAGCACAGTTGCTGCTCATGGTTCATGAGTTAAAAGGAAGAGCTGGGATTTATGAGTGAGATGGTGATTTTCATGGCTTGGTTAAATCCTTTGATTAGTACATGGTTTATGGTTTTAGGAAGAACAGGATTGTATATGGACATGAAAGATATGAACTTGAATGTTGAATGGATGTCCCTGGCATAATTGAAGGGCTTAGTCTTCATATAGTGTTAACATAAAGTATGCCATAACTGAATAGTGTTGACATAAATGTTATCAGAACTCAGAATGAGATAGAACCTGAAACATTCTAAACCTGAAATGACTTGATCTGATCTGCCCGAACCCGACAATTGCCCCCTCTGGTTACAGTTACAAGGGCCTTGCTTATATCAGCATTGGAGCTTGATTTTGTCACCTGCCCTGTTTCATTGGAGAGACAGACAGGGCAAGTAGGCACTTAAGCAATTACAGCAATTCCCACAGTATAGTGTTGCTTAGGAGCTTATTTTTTTTTAGGGAAAATCTGATTAAAAATCAAGTTCTCGAATTCGGAAGTTTCGGAAGTTAGTCAACTCAGTATCTTACAATCTTGAAGTTCAAATCTCAACATCTGAAAAACTTTCTATGTTAATATTTTACGACCACTTACCTCATTGTGGAGAGAGGAAAGGGTGTCATCTTCCTTGGTTAACTACCATAAACAGATTTCCCCTTGAAGACCGTGATCATGGAATACCTTATAGAATGCAGGTGTATGTTTCATCTTCCTAAATTACTCGACCTCCCTTGTTGTCTGCCCTTCCGGTTGTATGTTTGAATCAGGTCGATTTTGATTGGTATTTTTCTGGTTAATGCATAGAATATGAACTGTTACACAGTGATGATCAAACGACTTGCAAAGTTTTATTGTGATTGTTTTGCACTATTGCATTCAGCACTTGCGCCTGAGGCAATATAAGAAGTGCCTAAATGGTCAATCCATGAAAAGTCGTCACAATATGAAATCTTAATAAAAGCTCAATTTATAGCCTCAAATCCACCCAGTTAAGATTTTACATCATTTTACCCCACTAAATGAAAATTCAGCATAAATTCACAATCCTTTTAACAAAAGGAAAAATAAAAACAGATTTAATCACAAAAGGGATGCCATGCTGTTTTTCCAGCCATAGGTTCTTCGCCTTGGGTGCGGAGGAGTAAAACTAAGCCCGAACATTTCTTTCAGGGCCTTTCCTTGCTCCACGAACCTAATCAGTTTTGCAATAATGGCGACACTATCCTTTACATGGCTCATATCTTTGTTATTGCTCCACAACTGATTCACCAGCTGGAGCCTTCTCTGTTTCGAGTTCAACTCAATGCCCCATTTCTGATACAATTGCTCTCTTTCTTCTTCTGTAAATCTTTTACGCAACAGCTTGCTCAAGGTTTGTCTCTCACGGCGAAGACTTCTCACACTGCATCAACATATGAACATTTTTTAAGCAACTCAAAACATACATTTTTTTCTTCTAGATTTCCACTAATGGTTGGTTGTCCTCCAAATTACCATCTTTCCGAGTATGATAACACACAATATCCAACATTAGATATTGAAAACAACGAGAGGGAGAGAACCTTGAAGCCAATGTGAGGGTGAGGCCATCTTCGACGGCTTGATTTCCTCCAGAAAATGTTTCCTTGAGGAAGGTAAGTCTTCTAAGCTCTACCTCCATGTAAATGGAATCAGTTGGATCACCTTTAAAGAGCAGGAAGAAGTATGTTCTGTGAACCAAAGAAACATTGCAGGCTTGCCAAAGTTCAAGTATTGCTCTCCTCAACCTATCAAATTCCAGAGGCCAATACAGAGGGGTGCTTGATGCTGAATGCATTGGATCCAATCCTACATCTTTCATACTCCTTCCAGACTCGCCTACTTCCAGTCCTGTGCTCTGAACCTATGACAAATGTATGAAACATTTTCAACGAAATCAAATGACACATTGCTCAAGTGCAAATTTTAAAATTTTTCCAGACGCGGGAAGGAAAATGGTAGGCAATTCTCACCTGGCCATTAGCAAGTTGCTTCTTCAATCCTGCAACGAAAGTATGAATGCTAGTAATATCTTCATCTGCAGAAGTCTTGATGGAAGCACTCCCGAGAGAAGATTGAGAATTATTCCTGGCGAGCACGCCATTATTGGCACCAAAATTTAATAAAGGTAACCTCTTTTGATTACTTTGTGGTCTTCCAGGGAAGTTCTTCTCCAACCCATTTACCGGGGTGCTTTCGAAATGTTCACTGTCGGCATAAGAAGATGTACCGCGCATGACATCTGCTTTACAACTCCAGCTCCTACTCAATTTCAGGCTTCTAGAACTTGAAAAATCTGCTAGCCGAGCATCTGACGATGATTTATCAGGGCTTATATGGAGTCTCAGCTCCAATGAATCAAAAGCAAAACCATTTTGGTTATGATTTGCTTCTCTATCTCCATTTATCGGAGTAGACATTGTTTCCTGGCCGGTCCCATCTCCATCTCTATAAAGTGTCGGTGCCAATCTTCCTTCACTTTCACCATTTGGTAAGGCTTGAGATTGAGAATTATAATACCTCCCTGATTCTTCTGGCTCAATACATTGAACCTCTTTGCAGTATTCATCAGGGTCATCAGCAGGTTCACCTATAGTCTCAGCAAGACTCCGCCCAGAATCAGAGGTAGAATGGTCTTCATGATTGTTCAGAGGCTGATGATACGGCTCCTGAATATTACTCCCACTCTCTGTGTCATAACGATGGATTGAATTAAATTTCTGAACATGTACATCCAACCGATTAGAATCAGCCAAACATGATGACTCTGATGCCGAATAGTCACCTGCTAGTTGATTGGGATGGTAATCGATCCTTGCCTGATCAGAGAAATGAGAGAAGGGTTAGAGGCCAAAGATGGAACTGTTAACAAGAGATTAAGCAATTAAAAACTATTATAGCAGCTAGGACTATATTAAGTGAATAGCATAACATGTTAAGAATGAAAATACAGAATAAAGGCAATAATAAATACCGATTGTGCTGAACTTTGATCATTTCTAATCACCCTTAGCAAATCCTCGACCCGAGATTGAGCAAGATCACGTTGCTTAGTCAGTTCTTTGATATCCTTCTCCATCTGCATAGTGCAAAGTCTTGCAATCAGTGTTAGGCAACATGTAAATGTAGATGCCTAATCATTTTTACTATATTTTACATGCCAGCTGCACCAGATGTGATATTGAACAGAATTAGGCTTTTTATTCACAAGACAGAACGGTTTGCTACTTTGCTTGCAGCCTAATTTTTCACTTGCAAAAGAATCTATTGAGTAGGACTCTAGAGTAATGGAACTTAAAGGATAACACTGCAGGAAGCACTTCAGCAATAAATATGTGATTTGCAAGTATGTAACAGTTACTAATTTTCATTCAGGTAAACATGGTAGCAAGTCCAAGTATATCTGGCAAATGAGTTTCAAAAGCAAAGCATAACCTTTTGAATATGAAGGTCTTTCCTTCTCAGTAAAGCTGCATAGTCACTATTTGCTGAAGGAGGAGCAGGACACTTGAGTTCACTTTCTAGCCTGGCCAACTCTTTCTGCAAATGCTTAACCAAGGCCTGGTCGGACATGACCACATTAACCTGCGCTTTTGTAGTAACTTCTTTTGCACAACAAGCAAACAGAAGAGTGTTTCTGGTTTGTTCAACATGGGTTCGTGCGGGACTCAAAGTGCATATGATGGCAGTCCTGGCATTACCACCCAAACAAGGCTGCAGTATGCGTGTCAGCTTAGAATCTCTGTAATTGATATGTCCTTGCCTACCTTTACTGTATCCACCATACAACCACAATCATGTAGGTGAGAAAAATTTAACAAGAAATTACTTTTTGCAAAAATCATCAATATTCTCAAACAATTTTGTGCTAATTATTACAGAAAATAAAGCGAGGTACCGAACTGGATTGAAAGAACTAACACTATAAAAATAGTAATGCAGTAATCAGGTGATTTAAATATTTTAGTGCCAGTGGGAAAGAATCAGCTCTGAGCCTAAATATCTGTTTCAATTTAAATTGAAAAGGTAACAACCAATAGGAAAAGGGAATTCAATCAAAGTCAAAGTAATAAAATAGCGGCACACATCAACGAATTTAGATTATATTAAGTAGTCACTTGCAGATGGTTGAATCTAAAAAACTAAGAGCACTCAAAATTAAAATATGACCCAGCCAACCTTAGCTTGCGAACAACAGTTGACAGGGTCAGTAAACTACGATTTATGTGGCAACCCTCTTTCAGTCTTGCCCCGGTGGATAATGCCTGAGATGCTCGCTCACTTCCAGCCAGATCAACAAAATTCTGCACTCAAATACCACCATCTTTTCATGACTTAACCATTTCAGGAGAGCTACTTATTCAGTGAATTGCAAATGTGAAAGTAAACTCCATGAGCCATACCACACTAGCTGCAAGGGTTGTTGAATTTTCTTTTCCTAGGAACTCACGAGCAGAGCTTTCAATTGTCTACAAAAGTTAGAACTCACGTTACAGTATGCTATAAAGGAAAGGGGAAAAACTCAACATCGTTACACATAAGATTTTTTCAATTAATGATATGCTGAGACATTCAAACAAGCCAAATTAGGATTTAGGCAGGTCCCACAAGAGAGAAAGTTCGGTTGAAGTGAATGACTATTACAGCCGTATGCAATTCAGGGAAAATTAAGGGAGGAGCCTCAAGCAAAAGAAAGCAAGCATACCAATCTTATAATTTGATGAGATCTGGAGCTTCTCTCATTCAATGAGGTCTCTCCTATCTTTCTTTGAGCTGAAACAACGCA